ACATAATCATCAAAAGATAAGGTTTCATATAGTCAATTCAAGGATATAAGTTAATTAGTAAGTTTTTGAGTTATAAGTCAAGTCCTTAGGTGTGTAAATATTTTTGTTACCTGTAGTAATGAGCATTTACTTATGTACCTACATATTGTAATATAATTATTAGTACAATGCGATGATCATGTGATCACGTGATCATGATCACGTAGTACCAATGGACCTTCGCCCAACAACTTGCATATTTATTTATTTATTTATTTATATATAAAATCGGTACTTTATTATCGTTATGCATAATGATGTTAGGATAGCAATGTTAAGATAGTAATTATAAAACAGGTTTGTATTTAGAGAGGAATTGTAAATAGTTTTAGAAATAATTAGCTAACAACTAAAAAGTCAAGTATTAGTAAAAATGTTTTCTTATAAAAATGTCATGTAAAAGACTTGCAAAAGGCATCGTCCACAGCCTCAAGTCCTATTTTATCTAAATAAAACATCTCTTCATCTTGAATTTCTCCTAACAAAGACCTGAATCCACCCTATAACCGAATATTTCAGTTATAATATCTTTTTATTATCATAGAGTGGACAAAATGCAATTATACTTCCTTTCTACTCTTTCTCACTTAATTAGTTAGGACTTTCTCAAGTTGCTTACACAATTAGTTGGTGGTATTTTGTCTTTGATCGGAACTGGAAATAATCAATCTACATTGGCATATCTTGAAGAAAGTATTATTTTAAGTATTCTCATTATCGATTTTTTTATTTCACTGACCTAAAAGATTTATGGTGACACTGCTAAAATACATGAAATCGCACAAAATAGCAAGGAAAATTTTGGTAAAACGTTAGATAATATTAATGCTACTATGTCTTCATTAAAGATATTACAAAGAAATGAAAAAGATTTTCCCAATAAGGGATATTACAAAAGCTTTCGTAATTTCATTCAAGTTTCAGATAAAATAAGATTATTTGTAGATACGGTAGCACAACGTAGCGCATTTTTTAAATATATTAATGCTTACAACATTAAAAATAAATATAAAAAACTATATCAGGAATTAACTATTGAAACATTGAAAGATAATTCTCAAGCATTAGAAGACATACAAATTAAATCAAAATTACTAGGAGAACAACAAGAAGGGTTTAAAAATCAAATTGATATTATCTTGCAAGAAATTTTAATTATAAAAAATCAAGTTGGCATAAATTCAATAAATCAGAACTAATATTCTCAATTTTAAGAATATTTAATTATTATATTATATACTTTGTTATACAATTCATATTGATTTTAAATTGCACTTATACATTTTTTAAAATTTATAATGATTGGAATTAGTGTTCTGAGTTGGTAAATATTTTACCAATCGATTAGTTGCCAACTATAGTTGCAACTAATCGATTGTTTACATCACGTGGCATTATCAGATAATTAGCCAATCAAACAAAAGGAATTAATATGAATCTGCCTGACCAGACAGAATTTCTCAAAATTGTACTAGTTGAATGATTAATCGATTAGTTGTTTAAATTTTTTCAAATCAACTAGTTGGAAAGTTGGCAACTAGTTGGTTTTTTAACTAATGATTTAGAACACTAATTGGAATATAATATGCTGTATATCAAATTTAATTACATTAATATCAATTTAATAAGCCTTTCGATTGAGTAGAAAAACAGTTTAAAATGTATCTGTATTTTTAATATTTTATTGAATATTGTTATTTTAACTAGTAAAACTATATCTAAAAATCGGTTTAGAAATTATTATTTGATGTGATTAGGTGTCCTGTACCATTGCCTCCTAAACTTTATTAATCTTATATTTTTTTGATAATTTATAAAACATCATGTTTAGCAATAAAATAGATTTAGAAAAATTATCTAAGATTTATCTATTATAATGCTGTTAATTTTTAACATCTAATACTTTTTTTAGTACTGTAATTTTTTTTTATCAACTATACACTAAAGTCAAGTCAATATGTTAAGAGAAGTGATTTCTGATAATATAAATCCCTCTACTCTAATTCTATACTTTTGGAATTAAACCTATTGACAATAAAAATTCTTAAAAAGATCAAAGTATTACTTTTGTAAAAAGTCTTCGCTAGTGCTTTCCCTCCTTCAATACCAATATTAGTACCATAGAGATTAAATCAGTTAGAGTAGTATTTATATAAAATGCTTCTTGCAAACGCTTTTCCTCCTTCAACATAAATATAATTATAGCTAAGGTTTAAATTAGTTAGTGTAGTATTCTTATAAAGAACTTCCGCTAGTACTTTTGCTTCTTTAGAATCAATCATATTACCACCAAGACCTAATTCAGTTAGAGCAGTGTTTTTGCAGAGAGCATTTGCACCTTCAGTATTAACATAATTTATATCAAGAGATATAGATATAAGAGTAGTATTTACATAAAGTGCATCAGCTAATACTTTTACTCTCTCTGATCCAAGTTTGTTATTCCAAAGGCACAAAGAAGTTAAGGCGGAGTTCTCACAAAGCATATTTTCTAATGCTTTTCCTCCTTCATAACCAATATTATTATGACTAAGTTCTAGGGTAACTAGTATATTGTTTTTACATAAAACCTCTGCTAATGTTTTTGCTACCTCAGAATCGATATTACTACTCCCAAGATACAATAAGGTTAGAACAGTGTTTTTGCAAAAAGTTTCTGTTAGCGCTTTTGCGCCCTCAGAGTCGATTTCATTTTTTATTAAGATTTAAAAAAGTTATAGTGGTGTTATTATGAAAAGCCCCTGCTGATACTTTTGCGCCTTTAAAGAGAATATTATTCTTTTGAAGATCTAAAGAAATTAGAGCAGTATTCTTGCAAAGTGCCTCTGCTAATGCTTTTCCTCCTTAAAGTTCAATATTATCATGACTAAGATTTAAAGAGGCTAAATTAGTGTTCTTGCAAAGTGCTTCTGCTAATGCCTTTCCTCCTTCAATTCCAATATTATTGTAACTAATATTTAATAAAGTTAAAGAAAAGTTTTTGCGAAGTGTCTCTGCAAATACTTTTCTTCCTTCAGTGCCAATATTATTATAACAAGTTTCAAAGAAATTAGAGCATGTTCTTACAAAGTGCCTTTGCTAATATTTTTTCTCTTTCAAAATTAATCTTGCTATCGGAAAGATTTAAAACAGTTTCAGTAGCATTTATATAAAAAGCCTTTACTATTGTTTTGCTTTCTTTAATATTATTAGTCAAAATTATTTAGACATTTAGGCAATTAGCAAATTGAATTTAGGCAATTTCGACTTTGCTATTTTTTTTAAAAAAATTATAATTATTAAAAAATAAATTTAATTTAGACAATTTAATTTAAACAAATTTTGATATTAGCAAAAACAATTTTGACTAGTATTAGCTTCCTTTAATACTAAAGCTATATCTACAAAGGTCTAAAGAAATCAAAGTAGTAGTTTTACAAAGAACGGTTGCTAATATTTTGCTTTCCTCAATAGAGATATCAACACTTCAAGTACTAAAGAAACCAGAGATATGTTTTTGCAAAGAGCTTCAGCTAAAGCTTTTAATCTTCAGAACTAAGATGATTGTGAATAATTAAGGAAGTTAATGTATATTTTTGTTAATAGTCTCCGTTTATAATTTAAAATTTTCATATCTAAACTTATTCCCAGTTCTTATTTATACTTCTGTACTATTTTTTCATGATTATTGTCCGGATTCCAGATTTGGGCTGATCTGGAATTTTATATTTCTTTTTGATTATCTTTTTTATTTTTTTTATTGATATACTGAATTTTTTAAATAGGAATATTAGTGTAGAACTATAGTACTATAGTGCGGTATAACATTTAAATTAAAACAATCTAGTCTTTACAAAAATAAGGCTCTTAATTAGATCTAGATTAAAGCTAGGGTTAAGGTTAGGCAAGGCATAGTTTAAACTAAAATTTTACAAAGAATTTTTTTTATTAGAATACAAAAGTTGGTTTTTTAATTAAAATTTTAAGATAGAACTAAATTTTTAAAAGTTTATTGTTTTTATTACACAAAGAGATGATCTGCATATTATACCTGATCTTAAATTTTAATTGGTTACAATACCCTAGCATCATAACGCTATAACACTATAAAATAAAACCCTTTTTAAATTATTGAAATTGCTAATGAAAAGTAAAAGTTGTTTGTCGAAAGTAGAAAAAAATACAAGAAGTCTTGTGATTATAGTAATGCTAAACTTATGAAATACATAACTTTAATTTTAAAAAATAGTATGGAAGTATAATAAGAACTGGGAGAATAAATTAGTTATTACCCACTTTGTGAACAATAACTATCCCTTAAACTGTTTAAAATTCAGTACAAATTTTGGCCTGAATTTTACTATAATAATACCTTTGATTTATTTTTTTAAAAATTTAATATATTTAAATAAAATTTTTTTTGATGATATTTAAAGATAAGGATTATATTTTGTAAAATTTATATTCAAATTATAAAACAAAAAATTTAACTTGTTTATAAGCTAAAACTATACAAATTTTAAAAAATTTTTAATTAAAAAAATAATTTATAATTTTTAACAAATTCTTTAAATATTAATTTTAAATTTATAGTTTTTTAATAGAAATTATAGTTTAAATAAAGGATTATGATTTTCATTATTGTAACTTTGTAATTTATTTGTAAAAATTAAGACTTGTATTAGAAGTAAAAAATTTTTTTATAGACAGAAACATATAAAATTTTAAAAATTTAATGAAAATTTTATCATAAAAAATTCAAAATAAAAACTTTAAATCTTTATTATTCTTAAGTTTTTTAATAAAATTAAAAATTTTTCTTTACAAAATTATTAAAATATATCAAAATATATTTTTTACTTAAAAAGTATATAGCTAAAATTAATATTTAGAATTTTATTTTAAAAATAAAACTTTTAAAAAAATTTCAGTACAAATTTGTACAAGAAACAGTTTAAGGGATAACTTATCAGAACAAAATTTAAGGAAGTAACGATTGTATTTACACAGAAACTTTTTGGTATTATATTTTAAATAATCCCTTTAATGCATAAATATTTGAGTTCCTTACTTGTTCGTAGAAGTATTGCAACTAAAAAACAATTAACAGCGCTTACGAGCTCATCATAGTAGTAATCATCAGGATGACATGCTTTTTTATAATTTTCATTAAACCATTTATCGATTCCATCTTCCAAATAATAGCCACTAGACTTAGTATAACTCGTGTACTCAAATAATGACTTGGGATAAGTTGGAAGGATAATCTTGAAAGGGATTAATAGAGCTTGTTACATATACCCAATTAACCGGGTCATGTACTAATCAGGTTGATCGATTAGAAACACTAAGGCATGTTAGTTATTCAAAGTTACGGATGCGGTATGTAAATTTATTTTTAATTGGGTTTTGTCAACAACTATTCTATCACTATTCATCAATACAGTATAATCAATTAATAGGTCTCTGAGCAATCCTTTATGAAAGAATTTGCAAAAAAATTGTACAACTTGTGCAATACGAAAAAGCTTCCATTCCCTTGATTAATATCGTGACAATAGAGTTGGTGATTTCGTCCACCTCAATATTCCCGAATACAATCAAATACATAGTGACTCTTCCATGCAAAGTTCTTGAAATTTATAAAGTAACATGTGTCGAGTTGGATGTAAGTCAGATATTCTTGAAATGCAGCAGAAATTCTTTCTTTTTAAGGCCTGATCAATTCATGAATTGAAGCGTTACATGCACAATCCTTATTATAAATAGACAATGTAAAATGTAGTTTAAGAAACGGTGCAAAAAAAAAAAAAAAAAATTAATGCAAATGTAAAAAGGCGAAGATGCCTTGTGGAAGAGTTATCCGAGCAATAATAACTGTACAAATCTGAATGTAACTAACTTGTAACGATAAGAATCTAATGTATATAATTAGTACTTATGCGCGTTTTGCAATTAATTATTGCTAGAGCTTTATGTATAAATTTTGCTATCAAAATCTTTAAATCTTATTATGGTCTTAATCGCTTATAATTTCAAAAAAAATATCAGCACATAGATTTAGAATCAACTTAAGGTTGGTTTGAAAATTCTTTATCCATCTGAGTGAATTTAAAATTTCATCCCAACTTAAGTATACTGTATTTAGAATTCACATAAGTGGATTTCAACTTCAGAGAGATTCGATTTCGACGTACAACACATATATATACAATATCAG